CGTGCCGTTTGAAAGAAGGACGATAGCGCTCATATTCCAACACTAGATTAACACACCGTGACAAAACATACAGATTTGACAAGCTTTTATAGATATCCAAATCAATCAGCATTAAACTAATAATGGATATTTTGACAACAGCTGGTGGGATGTTGAAAGGCGTAACTGAGTACAGGAGGAAGGAGTACAAGGATGGTGTGTGGGAGGTATGTCCTACCGTATACCTCGCACTCTGTCACCCACGGATCCTCTTACAGTGCATATCCGACAATGACTGTCATCTATTTGGAATTATCCACAAAATTGCAGACGACAAGGGCGCACTTTTACTTACCTATAACACACACAAAAACACATCATTAACACATCCACCGCTAAAATCGAGGGACCGTTCAAAGATCTATTCAATTTATTTTAGACTTTAATAGTTTTATTTTGATTTTTTTTGTGTGAAAGTAATCGCATTTCGCCTGTAACACGTTCTACGTTGTCCCACATGCGTCTGTCCTGATTGATAAGCTGTGAGACTCATATTTAAGGGTTTGACTTTTGGCGGACATATTGTATTATTTTTCAATAAAATCTCCTTCAGTATTTACACACTTTTACCAGAGATATTTAAGGGCCTCAGTACCACTTTTAAAGAAGAAGTACAAGACTCTAAAAAAAAAGGTCTTTTTCTTCACCTTTCAGAAAATCCTCCACTGCATGTATGACGTCATCATCTGACCGAAAGTGGGTACCGGAAATGGCCGTTTTCAATTTAGGCATTTAAATGATCTGATGGAAAGAGAAATCAGGCGAATAGGGCGAATGCTCAATAAATTCAAGGCTACAATCGTTAATGGCAGCCATGGCCATGACAGACTTGTAAACAGGGGCATTGTCCTGGTGGAACAACACACATTTACTGAATTTACCGCGGCGCTTGAGTTAAATATCTTCTCTTAACTGCCTAGGAAGTGATGCATAATACATGTATATGCCATTGATTGATTGTCCCTTTGCAGATATTCTACCATAAGAATATCATCAACATCCCAGAGGCCACTTTCCAGCTGAAGGAACAGTCCTTGCCTTCTTGGCGGGGTAAACCAGTGTGCTTCCATGTTCAGACTGTTGTTTAACCTCTGGGTTGAAATGCTTTACCCAAATTTCATCTATAGTCACAAACCTCTGCAGAAAGTTTGCAGTATGTGTCTCTAAAAGGTTCAGATTAGCACGCAACAAAGTTCGCCTGGCGTGCTTCTGATCAACTGTCAGAATTCTTGGTACCCTACAGACTGGGAGCTATCTCATTGCTAGATCTTCCGTAAGAATGGAATGTACTCTTTCCTGTGTAGTCGTCAGGAAATAGTAGAGCTGTAAAAGGACATCCCTGTTTACTTTCTTCAATAAAAGGTTCACAACTTATCCATCAGTCCTCGCAGACGAGTAAAGTATTCGGTCATTTTGTTTGAAATGCAGTTTATGAAAAACCGATAGAAAAAAATCGAACCGAGGTCGCGTTTAAGCACTCGTGTCGACGGAACCATAGATATAATCCAGGAACTCGTTGTATATTTTATAAAACAAACGCTATAAATTTACTAGGTACAATCATGTCGCTTTGTCTGGAGGAAAGCACCCTTGGAACTTGATTTGTACATTACACAAATATGAATGTAATGTTTATGAAGTTGTCATTTTGCAGCATTGGGATGTCATATTATGACATTTATAGCCTATATAAACTACACATTTAGCAGGCAAACATCATACGCTGGTACTAACTACACGTTCCAGTATATTCTAATTCGACTGTAACTATAGTTACTCCGCTAGGGTGAACGTCTGACCAGCGCAGTTTGCCGTAACTCGTTATAGTCCATAAAAAGTCACCAATAATCAACGACGTTCGTCGTCTTGGTATTTTCTTCTGTTTATATAAATACATGTATACGAATCGTGTGTGTTGTTTTTTTAAATATCAGATATTTAATAATGACGTCATGCTTGGATCTCTGGCAATTTAATTTATAATTCTTTATACTATACTTCTTTCTGGCGGCATTTCCGTGCGAGTTCAAATATATAGACAATATATACAAAAATTACAAATTCGAATAGTACGTGTATAAACCCGCTGCCAGTTTAAACCAGTTTTATTTAATGAAGACATAGATCAACCATTAAAATGTTCAGAAATAGCAACAAAATTGAACCGATCTCATTAAAACAATTAATAAAGGAAAAAAGACATTTTATTTGGTATTTTTGAAAGCTTCACTAGATATTAAAAATCCTTTCAAAATTTGTCATATAATTTGCGTCATTATGAGTGCTGACGGTAAAATTAAGTCGACAATATGACGTCGTTCGATGCACATGTTCACGTATGTATGAGGCATGTTTACACCATGTGATAACGATTACGGGACTGCCATTTAAAGGTGAAGAGCTTTTTCTCTACTCATTCAAATTTGTGTGAAAAAAATGTGTATTACATAAAAAAATATCATATTATATGAAGTTTAAATATCAGCAATAACTCTGGCGACTTAAATATCCTGTAATTAAAAATCCTTTGAAAACATCGTCACCAGATCGACCCGTAAAGTGTCATAATTTGAAACCAAATAAAAGATTACTGAAAACTAATATACCCGCCCATCCATTTGCATTTAGTTCATGCAAAGCGGCTGAAATAGAATACAGAATTCACAGATGTAAAGCCTTTGTGTCGTATTTAGATTACGCGGCATTAAATTGTGACACTTAATCTGTGCTATTCTTACAAACAACTATTTTGAATGTAAGCCGGGTCGTGAATCTGCCTAAATGTCGGAGACAAAAATGTGTATCCTCAACCAACAAAATTATCAAATAACGGGATACTTTTATTTGAAATAAAATTGCCTCGGTAGTTCGAAAGTGGATAAATGGGAATCAGATGGGATAAATAAAAACACTACATCATTTACTTTATTTCTAAAATGAATCGGTTTTCGGGACTTGATCGTATATACATGTATATGTATATTTGACGATATGTTTGCTCCACAAGAAAAATACAGACCCTGTTTAAATCGATCACATTCGTGTGACTATAAGAATGCCTAAACAGTACATTTCTGGTTTAAACAGTATATGGGCGGTTTAGATAGTACACACCACTTTAGACCGTACATGTCCGTCAAGACATATACACTGTAGTACAAATACTGTTTAAATCGTGCTTGTCCGGTTTATCGGGTTACACATTACATATCCGGTTGAAATAGTATGGCTTACATGACCGGTTTACTGTGTACTGTCAGTTAAGACAGAACTTGGCATGTGGATGATTTCATTCTAGTGAATATATCATGAAGTTTCATGAAGTTGTAGCTTGTACAATTTTTAGGGAAAAAGCACGGCATGTGCTTTGGTCAGCGACCTGTTAACGAAAACTTTCCAGACTGCAAATGGGTTTATGCAAGTATATATTTAATATGCCTGTTGCCATTGCACATGAACGTAATGTGCGTGTTAATGGGAATATATGGAATAAAATGTCTTTCATTACAAGGAGTATATACAAACTTAATTTGAACGCTTACCGATTTAAGGAAACTATGACTGGACGGAAATCAATCGAACTGTTTTGTTTTAATTGAGTATGAAAAAGAAAAACGCACATGATTTCACCAATGATTTAGGCATTGTTTAAGGCACAAGTTAATCTTGTGATCTAATGCAGAACAAGGAGGGCTGGTACAAACAGGTGATAAAGACGGAGTAAACTGGGGGCTGTTCGATAATTACTCAGCTACTGTGCTTTTATTATTTGTATTATCAGATTAGCACGTAAAATAAATTGATTATTATAAACACCTTTATTCCAACATTTGATATTTTTGTGAGATTTCTGAGGGTGATGGATGGTCTGTCAATGATAAGCGCCCAGAAAACAATTTCATAAATATTCCTGGAGAAAGTTACAAGGGGTCTCACATTGAAAGTACAGAAAAAACGGCACTGACTGTATACCAACACCAACGACGAATTAAAATACTATCTATCCATCAATAATAATAATAAAAAAACTAGTATGACAGCTACTGGCACGAGACGTAAACAAAAGATAATAATCTCTACGTCGATAATTTCAATAACGAATTTGGAGTTATGATCTGTAATACTCAAAGGAAATTGTAGTGTTTTCCTATTCGTTGGTTAAATACACAAGTGTCAGTAGGTCGTCATTGATTACAGACAAAGCACCTGTCAGACGAGAACCAGCGCCATTCGAACGCACCGCTGCTCGATCATTACTCTCTCATTACCGCCTTTACACAATCACCAGTAGACCGAAAACACAAGATGCTATGTCAAGATAGCTCCCTCAGATTTATACCCCCGACACGCTACCAAGTTCGGGAAAGAACTATTATACATAGCACGTTTTGCATAGACATTAAGCAATACTTCGTGTAATGGTATATGAAAGTTCAGGAAAGATTACTTAAACTAGTCATTTTTCACATTGGAAACTATACTGATAGACTTAGTCTCTTTAAAAAATATCCGGTATACCATGAAAAATACTACATTAGATTTGAGAGGAATTATATATGTAAACAAGAAACATTAACAAGACGAATATTTCACGACGTTTTCGAGTATGTGGTATCTCTTCTAGAGGTCAAATTATATATCGTTCATATCATGTATATACAAATATATTTATTGATTGAAACACTGGCTAAGATATAGATTTAAGTCCGTGTTTGAATATTTCTCATACATTGATATTCGTAGAAATTCATTGAAGTCTGATTAATTACACACACTATTAAATTTCTAGTTCATCAGTCACGTGCAGAACAAATATACACCTGCTTGTCAAGTCCAAACACGTGCTCGTTTGTTTACAATATTCACTTCCTGGATATTTTGTGCAGAGGTTCACATCAAATATATCGAGGGCGCTGATTGGATAAAACTCCAAACCGGAAGCGGATAAATGAGAATTCAAGATGGTTGTCTTCGGCAAACCGACGAGTGTTCCCTACAGTTGCTATGAACTTGGACACACATGGACACCCTCTTGTACAAAGGCATCTCTCGGAGTATCTCTTGATGTCCTTAAAGAAGCCCTGAAAATATATGGCAGCCTCTATTTGGTACGCTACTAGTCACATAAAGCAAATAAACTTGTACAATCGAATGATTTTATGTCGACAGCAGAAGTCTCAGAGTCCAAAGTCACTACTTTTACCACCACACACCATACAGAATATACACAATAGAATGTTAGACAGAATAAATGTCATGTAGGAATTTCCTAACAGTTAACGAATTATGATCAATACACTGAGATGAATATTGATTGATATTAGCACATCTAATCACGAAGAAAACTTGTGTCCTGTGTATTTATTTTTTATCTGTTTCGGACCCCATAAAATCGTTTGTCAAAAGCTATGCTACGTAGATGAACTGTGAACAAAAATATGCATAAATGTAAAAGTGGATACATGGTTAATACATTTCCCTTGTAGTTCACCATAGTTCTTTGTAGATTTATATTACATTCACTCTTCCGTTGTTATATTCACATCTTCATTATACTATATTGTTTAAAAACAGCACATAGTGCAGCATTGAAATATATCTGTACTGTTTTCCAAAAGCAAAAAAGAACTATTTTTTGCGAATTTTCTGCATACAGTTTCGTCAACAAAGTGTTGACTGTCTATTGTTCCTTTGAATAGGGTCGCCATATAATACTCCTCTGCCATTTGTGCCATACTCTTCTGCCATTTGTGCCAACAGTAGATACAGCTGAATACCATAATAGTTTATTACTTTGTCCATAAAAGTGTCTTCCAAGGCAAATATCACATGAGATTCCCTGACAAAATATCAGATTATGTCATAGAAAGTACACATATGATACTGCTTTTCTGTCTGTGTTTTGAAATTATGACATCTTATACAGCTGACTTTATGTCCCAAACACTGGTACCTGAAGTTGAATTGATGGGTTATTTTATTGTAGCTTGCAGGATATTGTGTAAAAATGTGTAAAGAGGAAAAACACACAAACTTTGTCAACGAAATATATACTCATATTTTTTATGGTAAATGGATTCAATGAGAGCTATGTTTTTCTCCGTAAGTGCTACATGTTACTACATCCATAATCATCCAGGTGCAAGGTAATGCAGGTCAATATTTTATAAGGTACATTTTGCCAAAATGGCTGCTATGCAATGTATAACAGTAAGGAACTGATGTCCAGGCAATACATTCTGTAACTAGTGACATCAGTGGATACATCAGTACTTGTTAGTTTATTGCCACATTGAATGCAAGACATACTTGGTAACACTCAAGTTGGTTAGCAATGATAGCTCTTTATATGGACTGCAATACTTACCTTTAATTAGTACAACATTTCTCCATTTTGTATTGTAGTATATTTTTGTTCATATATTGTATCAATGTGTGTATAAGTATTTCTCATGTTTTAAATAAGAAATTTATAGATTCACAGAAGATTAAATATGTTTTTATTCTGATTGGTTTTTGTCATTGTCATATGAATTTTATATTTTTTGAACTCCACAAGAATGTTTGAAGGCATATTTGGTAGGTGGATATAAATTTTGAACATATCGATTGGTCAGAAGTTTGCAGTCTTCTCTTGGAGAAAGTTCAAGTGAGATAGCTGTCCAAGGCTAATCATATATTCAGTTTGTTGGTTTTTACTGGATTTTATTTTGAGCCACATACAACACCATGATGTGTTGGCTACAAATTAATGTTAAAATGTTTTCCTGGTTATCTAGAAAATATTAACCCAAGTGTACCGAAAAGTTGTTCTAGAACTGTTCCATAATTATATTCGAACAAAAGTTTAAAGGTGCCCCTTGACAATAAACGTGGGAAAGAAATGGGATGTGCATCTCGGAGTCATATAAAATTTTACTGTAAATATTCAAAAAGTGTTCAGACAAAAGAATCCTTTTGTGTTAAGTAATTTACATGAAAAAAGCAATATTGGCTTTTAGAAAAACTAAAAAAGCTCAATCTCCTTACCTACAAAATAAAAAAATTGGCTAACAGAACAAAAAGCCAAGTAGTCTTGATCATGTATTAAAAACCTTCTAATAACTGACAGTGTCTTAAACTGCTTACATTTTATGGACCAACCTCCCATTTCTTAAAGACCAATAATCATCATGACTGATGGATTGTGAATAAAAATGTTAAGAATAAAATTTAATACTTTGAGAAAATTGACTGACATTCTGTTGTGTATGACCTTGGTGATAGTGATTCTGATGCAGCATTTTTTCTGTCTCCTTTAAAGCCTTTACATTGACAGAGAATGTTGTTTGAAATCTATTACAGCTGTTCTGGTTTAAGCAAAAGCAATGCTTTATTTGATTAAGTTTTTTCTTATCCATTAGATTGCTGGAATTGTAAAGAAAAGAGGCAAGAAATATTTTCAGCATAAATGGTTAGCAGAGACCTTTCAGTCAACCTTGTTTCTAACAACAAATGGAACCTTATTTTTGACATTCTTCTGTCTATGGAGGTAAGATACATATATAGCATTAACTAATAGCATTATGAAAACTAATACACATACACTGAGTAATATATCTGGATTGAATATGTATAGCAAATATAGTAAATTCAAGGGTCTTAAAGTATATAGTGAACCCAGGGGACAAACAGTATATAGTAAACCCAGGGGACAAACAGTATATAGTTAACCCAGGGGGTATACAGTATATAGTAAACAGTATATAGGAAACCCAGGGGGTATACAGTATATAGTAAACCCAGGGGACATACAGTGTATAGTAAACACAGGGGACATACAGTAAACCTAGGGGGTATACAGTATATAGTAAACCCATGGTACATACAGTGTATAGTAAACCCAGGGGACATATAGTATATAGTAAGCCCAGGGTACATACCGTATATAGTAAACCCAGGGGGTATACAGTATATAGTAAACCCAGGGGGTATACAGCGTATAGTAAACCCAGGGGACATACAGTGTATAGTAAACCCAGGGTACATACAGTATATAGTAAACCCAGGGCACATACAGTATATAGTAAACCCAGGGCACATACAGTATATAGTAAACCCAGAGGACATACAGTATATAGTAAACCCAGAGGACATACAGTATATAGTAAACCCAGGGTACATACAGTATATAGTAAACCCAGGGGGTATACAGTGTATAGTAAACCCAGGGTACATACAGTATATAGTAAACCCAGGGGTACATACAGTATATAGTAAACCCAGGAGGTATACAGTATATAGTAAACCAAGATTACATACATTATATAGTAAACCCAGGGTACATACAGTATATAGTAAACCCAGGGGGTATACAGTATATAGTAAACCCAGGGTACATAAACCCAGGGGGTATACAGTGTATAATAAACCCAGGGGACATACAGTGTATTGTAAACCCAGGGGGTATACAGTATATAGTAAACCCAGGGGGTATACAGCGTATAGTAAACCCAGGGGACATACAGTGTATAGTAAACCCAGGGCACATACAGTATATAGTAAACCCAGGGTACATACAGTATATAGTAAACCCAGGGGGTATACAGTATATAGTAAACCCAGGGGACATACAGTGTATAGTAAACCCAGGGGGTATACAGTGTATAGTAAACCCAGGAGACAAACAGTATATAGTAAACCCAGGGTACAAACAGTATATAGTAAACCCAGGGGGTATACAGTGTATAGTAAACCCAGGGCACATACAGTGTATAGTAAACCCAGGGGGTATACAGTGTATAGTAAACCCAGGAGACAAACAGTATATAGTAAACACAGGGTACAAATAGTATATAGTAAACCCAGGGGGTATACAGTGTATAGTAAACCCAGGGCACATACAGTGTATAGTAAACCCAGGGGGTATACAGTGTATAGTAAACCCAGGGCACATACAGTGTATAGTAAACCCAGGGGGTATACAGTGTATAGTAAACCCAGGGTACATACAGTATATAGTAAACCCAGGGTACAAACAGTGTATAGTAAACCCAGGGTACATACAGTATATAGTAAACCCAGGGGACATACAGTGTATAGTAAACCCAGGGGACATACAGTATATAGTAAACCAAGATTACATACAGTATATAGTAAACCAAGATTACATAAAGTATATAGTTGTTGGAGAACAGGTTATATTTAATAGATTTCAATGTGATGAAAATGATTTTTATTGTAAAAGATGATGAAATTTGTTGCTTTTTACATGCTTAATTACTTAAACACAATTGCCATATTATAATTAGAGAATAACTGGAATATTCCAGTAAATGTGGTATACATAATCATTTTATGCTTAATAGATATTGTGAAGTCTTCCTGGTTCGAACATGGCTAGAATAATGCTTATAGTATAGATAAGTTCCCCTTCTTGTTTCATGATTACTTACATTCAATGCATCGATAGTCTGTTTTCCTGTCTGTCGTTCGTCCTTCAACAATTTTGAGTCCGCTATCATCAGGTGTTGGGCTACCCATAATGTCCTATTTGGTGATTTACCGGTCTTCCACCCATCATCTGTCTTTCTTCACTCTTTAGATGATTGGTTTTTCAAATTACTCCTTATCTATTCTTAAACATTTCTTGTTATTGCAAGGATTTCAAACCTAGAAGGCATTGATTCAGTGGTCAAAATTAAGGATTCTTTTATGTCTACTTCATTACAAGCATCAAAGTAATAAAAGTAATCCTGGTGGATATTTAGAAAAAGGATAAACTGAAATTGGGCACCATTTTCTGGACATACCTGATAACTCAAAGTTAACACTGGAAGGACATAGCAGGAATCACATAAACTTATAGAAAATTATCTTTGTCTTTGGATATCCTTGTAGTAGGTCAGTAACGAAGATCAAACATCCTTGTCAAATGTCAACAGGAATGGCACTGTTTGTTCACAAATTCAAATTGAACTTTTGTATCAAATCTGTAAATATCTATGCTGTATTAAGATCAGGAAGACTTTACAATACACATTATTTGGGAAGCATGCTGGGTAATATTGCATTATTGGTATTTAAATATATGTGCATTATTGCAACTAAAAATGCTTTTCATTCTGAAAAAATGCATGAGCTGATCTGACATTGCACAAGTTGATGATACTAAGCATATGGCATGTAATACTATCATACTTCCCAGTTAGTGATAATCAGTAATGGTTGTATGACATTGGAGACTAAACTTGATACCTAGTAGTGATGAGTGTGTTATATTTGTAGTATGGCTTCGTTGTATAGTGGTAATTAGTATGTAATTGATAAAATTATTAAGTGGCTGTATAGTTCAAACAGAAAGCCAGCTGATGGAACATGAAACAACCATCTTCTCAACCTTTCATCTGTAAAGGTAAAAAAACAGAAAGAGTTTATGACACTGAGATCAACCTTTCAACCTGTAAACAATTTAACATTTTCGACTTCTCCTCAATCGTAGCCTAAGATAAACCAAAGTAGTGAATTATATGGTTCCCAGTCCATAGGGGCCTGAAGGGCAGGGCAAAAAGTTGTCAAATTGACTACAAACTTAGAAAATCTTCTGCTCAACACCAAAGTATTGTAGAATCAATTGCTCTTCATGAATGGAAGCATCTTACGGTGCTTTGATTACCAAAATGGGTCTTACATTTCTTTCTGGGGAGGAAGGGTGTTAGACTAAAATTTTTATAGAAAAATTGTATTTTTGAGTATAAAGTTGTTTATTTCCCACTGGAAATAATTTAATAAGAATTATAAGTGAAGGATGACAGTTTCGATGGTATGCAGGTATTGACACTGGCTTACTATATTCAATGTCACAATTTCTTTTTCATGACACTTGAAAGCTACTTAACCTATAGGCCTTTTGTCTTTCTATTTGTCCATCATTTGTGCAGTAACTTTTGTTACCATTACTCCTGATGGTGAATGGATGTTGATACAAAGACAGAACTAGTAAGATGGTTGTGGTCCATATATCACTATTCTGGATGATGAATTGATGTTGATACAAAGACAGGATCTTTACTAGTAAGGAGAGTGTGTCCTTGTAGTATCTGTTGGTCTTCTCACTGAACAATATGGAGGAAGTCTGCCAAATACTGTCCTTCAATGCAAATAAGTGTCTGGTCAAGGACACAGACATAACTGCACTGAAAGTTTGATCTTAGCTTCCTGTGAAACACAAACCTGCCATGGCGAGGGTTTGAACCACAGTTCTTCTCTCAGATCTTCACTTGAGAAACACAAACCTTCCACAGGGAGGGATTGAACCACAGTTCTTCACTCAGATCTTCACATGAGAAACGCAAACCTTCCACAAGGAGCGACTGAATCACAGTTAACCTCTCAGTTTTTCAAGAATGAACCACAGTTCTTCTCTCAGATCTGCACTTGAAAAACACAAACCTGCCACAGGGAGGGATTGAACCACAGTTCTTCACTCAGATCTTCACATGAGAAACGCAAACCTTCCACAAGGAGCGACTGAATCACAGTTAACCTCTCAGTTTTTCAAGAACGAACCACAGTTCTTCTCTCAGATCTGCACTTGAAAAACACAAACCTGCCACAAGGAGGGATTGAACCTCAGCACATTTCTCAGATCTTTACCTGAGAAACCCTAACCTGCCTCGAGGAGGGATTGAACCACAGAACTCCTTAGACCTTCACGTAAGAAACACATACCTGCCATGGGGAGGGATTGAACCACAGAACTCCTTAGACCTTCACGTAAGAAATACATACCTGCCATGGGGAGGAATTGGACCACAGTACTCCTCTCAGTCTTCACCTGGATTTGAAATGCCTCATTTAGCTAATCCAGCACTCTGCCCTCCCCTCCGCCCTCACCATTCAAATGATATTTTAAGATAAGTTGATAATAAGTCATAAAAGTATAGTTATTTTGAATGCACTGTTTAATTTTGCTCAAAGATTGACATTTTATAATGGATAAATTCAAAATAAATTAACTTTTTATTTTTAATTTGTGTGAAAAGATGTATAATTGTTGGCCATTAAACTGCATGGCAAATATTGTCTATGTGGTATTCAGATACATGCAGAGATAAGAATGGTTTAATGCCAAAACTAGATTAAAAAAGGCATTTAAATCAATTAGTGCAGCGCCTGTGTTTGTCTTAATGTGAGTTAATTGATCTGGTGTACAGGTAGGGTGATCGCCAGTGTGTCTATGATTTATGGGCATTCTATAGGACACCATTATGACAGGGTGTAGCGCGAGTCGATGATGGTGTTAGGGTTTAACTACCACCATTATATCATTTTTTTTGTTTTGTTTAATGATGATTGTAGTTATAATCAGAATGTTATCTACAGGTAAAGGGGACATTTTCAAGTGTCTTTTTTGTAAGCAGTCTAATGATTAAGTAATCATAAATCAAAACAACATTCGCAGATATTCTCTGTATTGTCATCACTGTGATAACGGGAGTAAATGGGTATTAATCGTGTGTTGGTTCATCGTACCCTTTGGCACAGTTAGTG